GGGAGCTGGGGTCAGGACGGAGCCGGGACCCGAACCCGGGCACTCGCAGGCCGATGAGGGCGTCAGGGCACTCAGCCGAGCAGAGGCTGCCCGGCTGAGCTACTGAAAGGCACAGCAGGAAGCTGTTTCCTGCCTGCAGCCTGCGAGGTCTCGACTCCCCGCACCCCCCGGACTCTGAGCACCCAGGGGTGTCCCTGCTTCCAAACGTATGCTCAAACAGGGAGTGAGCGACTCTAACAACGCGGCCCCTCAGCCGTCCCGCCCACGGCTCTACACGTCCTGAGCGGTCACCATTTTAGCAACGGGAAGAATCTAATTTCATGCTAAAAATAATTGTTTGCAAATATAACAGTGGATGCAGATATTCAAGATTTTAAGTGTTTGGAAAACAGAGGATGTCGCCCCAAGCGCAAGGCAGGAAGGCGGGGGCAGGGCAGGGCGCACCAGCACCGGCGGCGGAACTCGACCGGAGCCTGCGAGGCTCTTCACGGGTGCGTTTGTTTCAAACACCGCGGAGGATTAAAGAACAACAGCATGGCGCAGGAGCCGGGCGGAGACCAGCGGTGGAGACGCCTGTGGCCCACTCGGGGTACCTGGGTTCAAGCCCAACTCCAGCTCTGTGACGATGCGGACCTGGGGGGCAGTGGCGACGGCCCAAGTGCTGGGCCCCGGCACCCACGTGGGAGACCCGCATGGAGCCCCCGGCTCCTGGCTTTGGCCTGGCCCCCCTGGCCATTGTGGCCTTTTGGGGGAGTGAACCAGCGGATGGAAAATCTGTCTCTCCCTCTCTCTCTGTTACTCTGCATTTCAAATAAATAAATATTTTTAAGAAGGCAAAATGCACCTTGGGAAGGGTTAGATCAACACGCTTACGGTGACACATCTCCTTAAAGCAGAGGGTCTGATCATAAAAGAGCAAAGTGCCAGCGGCAGGCACAGCGAGGCATGCTGGGTAAACGCAGGAAGAAAACACCAGAGGCCCGGGCGAAACCTCGCGTCCACTTGGCGCGGCTTCAGGTCACGGCCCACGCAGGCACGGACGCACGAGGACGGAGGCCCCGCTGGCCCTGGGTTTCCCCTCTGCAAGGGCCCCCCCTGGACCCGCTCTGCAGGAGGGCGCAGGGCAGAACCTGCGGTCCCAGGGCTGGCTTCAGCCCCTGCCTTGGCCGAGGTCAGGAAAACCACCACAGGCGAATCTGGTGAACCCCCGGGGGCCAGCCCCACCCCACGCGGCAGCCGCCCACTGGAGGCAGAGGCCCTGCGGGAGACGCTGGCGGGGCCCCCGGGCTCCAGGGCCCCTCCCCCGGGCAGCTCTGGGGCCGGCCCTGCTGTCCGCGCCCTGGGAAGTGAGCGCCGGGTGGTGTCTGATCTTGGCTTCCGGGAGAGGACAAACGGAGACAGAGGCGAGATGAAAACGCCAATTAGCAACCCAAACAGAGCCAAGCTCGGGGACAGATGGCACCCGGCTCTGGGTCGGCCGCTCCTGGAGCTGGCGGTGCCGCCGGGGCCGCGGTGGGGAGGGGACGGCTGCCGTCCCGGGCTCCTCGTCCACAGAGGGCACCAGGGCCCAGGACAGCGAGGCCAGTGTCGGCCGTCCGCCCAGCAGGACGGAGGCCGGGGAAGGCCCTGCCTGCAGCTCTGCCCGGGACCACCACCTGCCCCCGCCCCCAGGAAGTCAGGGACTGGGAGGGGGGACGCTGGAGGCCACCAGGGCCCCCACCGGCGCAGGCAGAGCAGGGGGCTGCCCGGCCCACAGCAGCCCCTCCCCCAGCCCAAGCCCCTGCAGCGGGGTGTGTGTGTGTGTGTGTGTGTGTGTGTGAGCCAGTGCAGGTTTACCTTTGACGAGTCCGGCACTGGGCTTTGCCGGGACCGTGGCTCATTGGAACCTGCCACCTGTCACCCGTCCCGTCCCCTTGGCACCGCAGCCGTACTGCGAGTCCCCAAGCCCGACTCCCCGCGTCAGATGGCAGCAGAGATTAGGGAGAGAGCCGTCGCCGGGGCCATCGATACAAACGCTTTCAGCGAGGACGCGGCCGCGTCTCTGAAGGGCCCTTGCTGCCTCCAGGAGAGCCGGGTGAGAGGCCTGCAGAGCGAGCCGGGCCCTCCAGCAACGCACGCGGCCTCTGGGACGCGCACTCGGCAGGCACCTGTCTGTGGAGGACCGGCCCAAGCCGGCGTGAGTCGGGCACATCCAGCACCCCACTCTCTTGCCGGGGACAAATGCGTTCACTGAACAGACAGAGGGCCTGTGCACCTCCCTCCTTCCCTTCCTGACTGTGGGTGTGATGCTGGAGCAGCAGCAGCCACTGGGAGGCTGGGAGGACCAGGCCAGCCCTAGAGGCAGCTGAGGATGAAGGTGGCACGCGACGGCCCTGCTCAGTCACCCTGGCCCCTGCTCTTCTGACCCAAGCCACTTCTGCTCTGGTTCTCCACTGGAAGCCCCGACCCCGGAACGTTCTAGAATTTCCCTCCAGACCTGCCGCTTCCCCTGCACCAGCTCCACCATCCCTGCCTGGACCACGTCCCAGCGCCAGGTGGCAGCAGGGGGGGCTGTGCTGGGAGGCCAGGGCTATCCCTGACCATAGTGGGTGACAAGCAGAGGCTGATGCCAGCCCTGCCCAGTGGGGCCAGTGGCACTGGCCAGCCTTGCTCAGATCCCTGGGGACACCACGCTGGCCGAGGGAGACCAGCCCGGCAGTCAGTGGCCAGATGTCATACGAACAACCCCAGGACAGGTGCGGGCCGAGGCTGAGCTGTGAGGTCAGAGGTCACAGGTCGGGAAGAGCAGGGCGCCGTCCGGGCAGCAGGCCTCGGGCTGCCCAGGGAGAGCACAGGTGGGGGGTGGACAGGAGGTCAGAGGGAGCCAGGTGAGAGGGCGGCGCCTGAGACGCAGCGCCAGGGCCCCACGGCTGAGCCGGGCACACGGGAGCCTGCCCTGGGCGGGGACCGCGCTCGCCTCTCTGTCCAGCAGCACTGACCCCAAGCCCCGCCCTCGTGCTCCCAGGTGACATCATGGACTCCGTGTCCAGCAGGGTGGCCGAGGGGGACAGGGCAGGGTGGGACCAGCAGCGTCTGCTTCTCACACAGCACCCAGGAGGAAGTCCTGCAGCCTCCTGGACTTCGCCACCGTCCACACCAGGCTCCCTCCAGCTCTCCGCATCGACAGGCCCACAGGCCAGCTGCCTGGACATCGAGGGCCAGGGGCATGCACCCTGCCAGGGAGCCTGCGTGACACCAGCCCGGCACAGGGGCGGCTGTCCGTCTGCTGCAGGTCCCGTGTCCACAGCAGCCACAGCCTCCCACAGCCGTGCCCCAGCACGGCTTGCCTGAGACCCCAGCCGCGCAGACGGGAAGGCCCTGGGCGCTGCCCCCTGCAGGGATGCTGGCAGCCCAGGGAGCTGGAGGGTAAGGGGGCCGCCCTCCCCTCGTGTCTGCTCCGTCTCTGTGAGCGGGTGCACGTGTGTGTACATGTGTGCCTGTGCACGCATGCGTGCTGAGAGGTGAACGTGTGTGTGTGCCCACGGCCGTCCACTGCCTCTCCCTCCTGCATGTCCGTGAGCACGTGCACGTGTGTGCGTGGGCATGCATGTGTGCGGGGGTGCGTGTCTGTCTCCACCCCTGCCTGCCCTGCAGTCACTTTTCTCCCGTGCCTGGGTCTCAGCCGCCACCTTCCCCGGACGCTTTGACCTGTGGAGGCCCGGGGTCTGCCCTTCCTCCACTGCTCCCCGGGACACCCACAGCGCCCGGGCCAGGGTCTCTGTCCCCGCCCCCGCCTGTCCTCCCTGGGTGGCTTCCTGGAGCCTCCCGCTCCCGCTCCCGCTCCCGCTCCTGCCAGGGTCCTGCGTCCAGGCTCTGTCTTTCCCTCAGTGTCTCTGCCGACCTCTGCTGCCTGTCGGTCTGGGGCCTGCCCCTCACCCTCGCCCCCGCCAGAGACCCAGAAACGTCGCCACTGGGAGAGGAAGGCTTCGCCCGGGCTCAAGGACGCCAGACACCGCCCAGCAGCCGCGCTCAGTGTCCAGGCGCCCGGTGTAGCCATCGGAGAGCGGGGCCCCCAGGGGCCACCCCTGGCTGCTCACAGCCACTGCAGGGGCACAAAGAGCGAATCCAGGCTGGCGATTCCCTGGCTAACTTCACCGTGTAGACAGCCACACCAGATACTGCGGTTTCCAGAGGCCCACCTCAGGGCCTGAGCCAGCCGCTGGCCAACTGCCCACAACACGTGTCGTGGAGCCTGGACTCTGCCTGTCCCTGAGCCTGGTCCCGGTGACGTCAGCGCCACAGCGGGACTCAGCCGCAGCCCACCCTGGACCGTGACAGCCCAGGGAGTGCGGCCTGGGCCAGGCTCAGACGTTTCCTGCTGCCTCAGAACAGAGGTCTCCCGTCCTGTCCCCAGCCCAGAGGCACCGGGTCAGACAGAGGCCACCCTGAGCGCCACCCCGGCACAGACGCAGGCATTGGCACAGGCCCCATCCCAGGAGCTGACCCGGGGGAGCTGGGTGCCCAGGACAGGCTGCCCTGTGCAGACCCCACACGCACCCAGACGGCCCCAAAGCCTCGCAACCCCTCAGCCCACTGCCCGCCACCTCCTGGCCAGGGACCCAGCCACGGGTCCAGCATGTGGTCAGGTAGCGGGTGGCACCGCTCTGGTGGACGGGCCTGGGCCCCACAAGCTGCCTGGGCCCCTTCTTTGGCCCGGGTCCTGGGGACAGTGCCACCACCACCTGGGTGAAACCCACCGGGCTTCCCACAGCTCTGTCCGCCTGGAGATGCCGCTGCCGTCAGGCCTGGCTGGGACCTACCCTAGGTCCTCCAACTGAGCTTTGCCCGACTCGCCTGCCCCTGCCTCTCACGGCCCCTTCCCGGGCCTCCTCGCCTCGTCCCCTTGGGGCATCCACAAGGTGTGCGGTGGCCCCTCGCTGCCATAGCGGGTGCATCCGTCTGGACCTGCTCCCCATGGGGCCGCCCCAAGCCCCCTCCCTGGCCCCGGCCCCGCTCCCTACCTCCCAGGGCCTGCTTCATCACGAACTCCATGACGAAGGTCTCAGCGCCTCAGCGAGGGTCAGAATTCACATGCGAGTGTGGCCGCGAGTTCTCCTCCTGGGGGAGAGAGTGGTCAGAGGCCCGGGGGCTCCTCCCTGTCCCCTGCCGGCCTCCCCTGGCAAGGTCTGGGGTCCCGATGCCTCGTGGGCTGGACCCTGCAGGGGAAGGTGGCCGTGGGGAGGGCCCCGAGGTAGGCTGGGGCGCACTGGTCCCTGCACAGGCCAGGGCAGCGGGCCCGATGCCAGCCAGCTCTCAGGCGCCTGCAGGGAGGGGCACGGCTGCAGGAGTCTGGCACAGCCGCAGAGCGGGCGGCCCAGGGGCGTTTGAAGGTGACTGCTCTGCCTTGCAGCTCCTGGGGCTGGGGGGGGGGGGTCCTGTGCCTTCCGACCAGGAGCCACTGCGGTGCCAAGCCACGGGGGCGGCCTGGGGGGCAGGCAGGGGCTGGACACCCCCCATCTGCAGGCTTCCTGTGAACCCAGGTGCCGCAGAGCCCCTGTGTGGGAGACCCAGCCCCATGGGTCCCGGGTTGACCTCCTTCCCTCCGCAGAGGAAGGAGACCCCCAGGGGGCGGGGAGGGGGCTGGGCAGGGAACGCCTCCGGCAGGGCTGGCCCCAAGGGCACCTTCGCTGCCGCCCCCTGCTCTGCCCAAGTTCTGCCCGGGCTGAGAGCCCACGGGGACTAAAGACCCAGGCCCGCCGCCTGCCCCGCTGCCGCTCGGCTGTGCGGGCTGGCGAGGCGCCCTGGGCGGAAGCGCGAAGACGAAAGGACAGAGGGAGGCGGGGGCCGGGGGCAGGTCGGCGGGGTGGGGGGGCCGGGGCCGGGGCCGAGACGGAACGGCGGGAAGAGGGGACGGAGGCGGAGGAGAAGGAGCGGGCGCGGGGCCGCTTCAGCACCGCGGCGGGGACAGCGGCCGCCGGGCGGGGAGCGCGGGAGCTCAGCGGACCTGGGCGGGGCCGGGTTGCGGGGCGCCGGGTGCGGGCGCCAGGACCAGAGCAGGGGCCGGGGTGCGAGGTGCGGGGCCGGGGCTCGGGACTGGAGAGCGGGAGAGCCCGGGCTCGCGGCTGCAGCCCGGGTGCGGGGTGCGGGGAGCGGGACCGGCGCTCGGGGCCGGGGTGCACGGAGCGGGGAGCGGGTCCGGCACTCAGGGCCGGGGCCGGGGCCGCGGGGCAGGGGGAGCAGGCCCGGGGCTGGAGCCCTCACCTCCGGGCGTCAGCGCGGCGTGCTCGGGCCGGCCGGGTCCATGTGGCGGCAGCGACTGCGGCGCTGAAGGGCACGGCGGGGAGCGGGACGCGGGGCGCGGGGCGCGGGGCGCGCGCGTCACTTGGGGCCGCCCCCCCGCGTCGGGCGTGACGGGGAGGGCGGGGCCGCGCGGTCGGGGCGGGGGGCGGAGCCAGTGTGCGGTGCGGTGCGGAGCGCTGGCTGCAGACCCTGGCCCCAGCGAGACCCGGACTCCGCCCCCCGCCCCGGCCCTGGCGAGACTCCGACCCCGACGTCGACCTCGCCCCCGCCAGGCCAGGCCCGGGCCCTCCACGGGAACCCGGACACCCCCTGTTCTCGGGGTCCTTGCAGCGCGGGTCTAGGGAGAGGACCCCAGCCCCCAGCGGCCCCCCATTCCCTCGCCCGCAGAGCCGGCTCCGACCCGGGTAGATTCCCGGTATCACTAGGAGAGACCCTTGCCGGCCCTGCCACCTTGACCCCCCCTCAGCCCCAGCCGGGCTGCTTCAGAGGCCTGGACCAGGAACAGCTTCGGTGCAGGCGAGAGAGTGGCCCCTCCTCTCCGCGGGACCTGGTGATGGCCCCACAGTGACCTGCCTTGGACAGCACCACCAGTTACCGCAAGGGTGACCCCTGGGGCCTGTGGCTCACCCCAGTGACCTCACAAGGAGCCTGTGAGGAGGCCCTGGGCAGTGAGCAGCGGCACAGGCCCAGCACGGAGCAGTCCAGGCTGTGGCCTAAACTCCGGGCTAACTCTATGGTCCAGGCCTATGGATGCACACACAGCCTGGAGCCACAGCCTTGCCCGGAGCAGAGAGAGCCCTCTGCCAGCCTGGACTGGGGCCCGTACTTCTCAGCGCCCGCTCTCCCCTCCATCCCTCCCTCCCTCTCTCTCTGACTCTCTGTCTCTCTCGTTCTCATTACTCCGTTTGTGTCCACCCATGCCTTTCTCAGCTCTCAGCTGGGAGTGGGGGCCAGGCAGGACTCAGACCACCCCAGGGGACACAGCGTGGCTGGTGGCAGTCCCGGCAGAGTGGGAGGCAGGCTGGGCACAGCCGCCCAGCCGGAGGCAGAGCCTGGGCCGGGTTGCTGGCAGAGACCTCACCTGGCCACGTGGCCACAGCGGGACAGGGCACAGTCTCTGTGTGGAAGCCAGGATGTTTGACGGGGCCAGCTGGGGCGGCCACAGGGGTTGGGGCTGGAGTTGCACAAGGTCCAGTTGCACAAGGTGAGGTCCAGATGCCGAGCCCCAGCCGAGGGACCCTTGGCCGGCCGCGTGGACCCGGGAGTGGCCCGGTAGGCCAGGAGCTCCAGGAGGGCAAAGCAGGGCCAGGCAAGGACCCCAGGGGCTGGGTTGAAGCCCCGCCCACCCACATGTGCCCAAGCCCTGTGTGGTGGGGTGGGGTCTCGAAGGGCGTCTGTCCCATGGCTCTTGTAGATAGGCCCCACCCCCACCCCAGCAGTGGCACCTGAAGCTGCACCTCTGGAGTGAGACAGCATGTGACGCCCCTGGGGGCAGCCAGCCGGTCCCCATGTGGCTGGTGTCCCAGCCCTGCTGTGCAGCCTCTGGGGCCTGGGAGCTCGGCCTTGGGGCTCCTGGCGCAGAGCTGGCGGCAGAAACAGAGCCCAGGCGCTGTGGCATAGCAGGTTGGGCCTCAGCCTGCGGCACTGGTTCGAGTCCCAGCTGCTGCACTTCCAATCCAGCTCCCTGCTAATGCACCTGGGAAAGCAGTGGAAGATGCCCAGGTGCTTGGGCCCTGCACCCACATGGGAGACCTGGAAGAAGCTCCTGGCTCCTGGCGTTGGCCTGGCCCAGCTTAGAACATTGTGGCCATCCGGGGAGTGAACCAGGCTCGGACGACCACTCTCTGTCACTCTACCTTTCAAACAGATAAAACAAAATCTTATTAAAAAGATAAAGTTCACAGAAAATGAGAATTGAAGTTATTTTTAAGTTGTTCTCCGGCTTTTCCAGGTTGGTCTGTTCCGTCGACACCGGCTGCTGTGTCCGGTGAACCCAGGCTTGTGCAGGAGCTGGCGGCTGGGAACTTGATTCTGCCACACCTGCAAACTTGGTTTTATTTTTTTGCAGCAATGATTTTATGAATATATACATTTTGTAGAAATTTGTGAGTTTATCAAAAAGTAATTCATGGTTTTGATATTGTAAATAGTACTTTAAATTTCAATTTGGTAACATTCATTTTATATATCTGAAAGGCAAGCCAGCGAGAAAGAGAGGTCTTCCATCTGCTGGCTCACTTCCTCAGTGGCCGCAACGCCTAGGGCTGGGCCAGCCCAAAGCCAGGAGCCAGGAGCCCCATCCGGGTCTCCCACGTGGGTGCAGGGCCCAAGCGCTTGGTCTGCCCTCCACTGCCCTCCCAGGCGCCGTTAGCAGGGAGCTGGATCGGAAGAGGAGCATCAGGGACCTGAATCAGCACCCATGGGGATGGGGCGCCCGCCTCAAGCTGTCCACCACCACTCTGGACAGGAGCCAGGGCTTTGGTGCCGGCCCATGTCCTGACGCACCCCATGCCTCGCGCAGCCGGGACCACGACCGGCGGGCCCAGAGCGGAGGGTGGTGAGCCTGTGGCGGAGCCGGTCCTCACGGTGGCTGACCTGTGCCTCCTGCGCTGGTCCTGTGGTTCCATGCCTGGCTTCTGTTAACCCTGGTGATTACGGCGACCCTTTTTGCCCTTGGCGTCTGCGTGTTTTATTTTGTCATTGATTTTACCGTTTCCGGCAAAATAGTACTTTACATTGACTGGTATTTTCTTAAACATTTTTTTCTTAATTATTTGAAAGGCAGAGTTGGGGGGGGGGGGTGTCTTCCATCCGCTGGGGCACTCCCCAGACGGCTGCAACGGCCACCGGCCTTGTGTAACTGCTACTGCAGACATACTCGTGAGGAGCCAGCACCACGGCACAGCGGGCAAAGCCACGGCCTGCCACACCGGCATCCCACGTTGGGTACTGGTTCAAGTCCCGGCTGCTCCACTTCCCATCTCTTGAGAACAGCAGCAGCAGGTCCTGGGGCCGTGGAGACCCAGCTGAAGCTCCCAACCCCGGCCGTGGCCCGGCCCAGCCCTGGCTGATGCAGTGTCTGGGGAGTGAACCAGTGGGTGGAAGATCTCTCTCTCTCTCTCTCTCTCTCTCTCTCTCTCTCTCCCTCCTCTCTCCTTTCAAATAAGTAAAATAAATCTTAGGAAAAAAGTGCTCCTGAGAACGAGAGAAGGGTCTTTCGTACCCACCCACTTCCTCGCCCCCAGCTGTCCGGCCGTCTCATGGACAGGGCCAGTGTCTGACCCTGCTCGACCCCAGGCTGAGCCTCCTGCTCTGGGGGTCCTGGGGTCCGGGCTCTGCCCCGAGGGGCTGTGGTTTCAGCTGTCCTGCGAGGAGTGCGGACGGTGTCCACGGCGGCTGCCATCCGCTCCTCACTGTGACCCCTTCAGAGAGGCAGGGGGCGCAGTGATCTCCCTAGGAGACCAGGGCTCGGGGCAGCTCCGGGGGCTGTGGGGTCCAGGCTGCGGCCAGGACCACCGTCCTGCTGCGCAGTCTGCTCGCTGCTGGGTCTGAGCCGGGGCCACGCATGTGGCAGCTGCATGCATGCGGCAGCTCGGGGTACCTGCACGAGCCCCCTCTCCCACGTGCCCTGCCACATCACCAGACCAGCAGGGACCCTCTGACCCTAAGGCCTTTGTCAAGGGCAGAGGAGGCCTGGGGGCTGCTGAGGGCCCACCCCGCTGTGTCAAGGGCCAGGGGCCACCCTGACAACCCCAGGTGTGGAAACAGCGCAGCCCCCGCCCCTGCCACACCAAGGAGAGGTTTTGTTCTTCACCGCCAGGGAGTCTGGGGGTCCCCTGTGGGCCGAGTGGCCGGCAGCGTTTGCTGTTCCCTGGGCAGTGGTGCCTGCGGGAGCCCCTCCCTGGGAACCACCAAGTCCTTGAGTCACAAGAGGTGACCAAGTGGTGAGCGCCCAGCACGGCTGCCCACCCCACTTCTGGGGCATCCCTTCTGCCCACGTGAGCTGGAAAGATGTGGTGGGGGCCCCTGTGAGCCCAGGAAAGGTGGGGGATGCCCTGCTGTGTCGCCGCTGCCCCGCTGTGGCCACCTCCCTGGCAGGACACTCAGCACCTGACTGGCCAGCACGTATCCCCATGGCTGCCTCCAGGTCCAGGACGGACCCCCAGGACGCACGGGTCTCAAGCCTGGGGTGGCTGGGAGCTGGTGCCCAGGCTGACGCGGGGGACCTGGGTGCAGCATGACCAGTACCTTTACCCACTCAGGAGGCTGCAAGTGCACCTGGACACACACGAACCTGCCCCTCACTCGGATTCTGCACCCAGGAGAGCCCCAGACCCCTCAACAGGTGGCCCTGGGGAAGGCGCTTTGGGGGGCGCTGCAACAGGTGTCACCCAGCCTGGGCTTCAGCTCAGACGAACCTACCCAGGGAGTCCATGCTGGAGGTCCCACAGGGGAGAACACGGGTGCAGGGGGAAGATGCACACAGCTGCCTGGGGGAGCACACGGGGGCCTGGGGAGCATACAGGTGCCTGGGGGAGAACACGGGTCCCTGGGGGAGCACACGGGGGCCTGGGGAGCACAAGGCTGCCTGGGGGAGCACACGGGGGCCTGGGGGAGCACAAGGCTGCCTGGGGGAGCACACGGGGGCCTGGGGAGCACACGGGTGCCTGGGGGGAGCACACGGGTGCCTGGGGGAGCACACGGGGGCTGGGGGAGAACACGGCTGCCTGGGGGAGCACACAGCTGCCTGGGGGAGAACACGGGTCCCTGGGGGAGCACACGGGTGCCTGGGGGAGCACACGGGTGCCTGGGGGAGCACACGGGTGCCTGGGGGAGAACACGGGTCCCTGGGGGAGCACACGGGGGCCTGGGGGAGCACACGGGGGCCTGGGGGAGCACACGGGTGCCTGGGGGAGAACACGGGGGCCTGGGGGAGAACACGGGTCCCTGGGGGAGCACACGGGGGCCTGGGGGAGCACACGGGGGCCTGGGGGAGAACACGGGTGCCTGGGGGGAGCACACGGGTGCCTGGGGGAGAACACGGGTGCAGGAGGGAGCACACGGGTGCCTGGGGGGAGCACACGGGTGCCTGGGGGAGAACACGGGTGCAGGAGGGAGCA